CAATTTTAAAGCTTGACATGTTTGGTGTCTATTTACCCGACGTGACCTGATCTTTTATATTTTACCAAAAAACTGGTTAATAATAAATGTTTCCTAACATAATGTTAAAAAAAACTTTTTTTTTCCAAAATTTTCTGTAATTTTTCCTAATTATAATAAAAAATAAAAACCCCAGTGGTGATTAAATACCCCCAAAATAAAGCCCTATCTGTCCCCAAAAAATGGTATAAAATTCATTTCAGTACATGACGGAATAAACGTCAGTCAAAGGACTGCAGCACTGAACACTGAAAAATGGCCTGGCCAGGAAGGGGGTCTAAACACCTGGTCTTGAAGTGGTTAATAAACAGGTTAAACAGCATTGCCGCGTGACAGGGCCCTGGGGGGCACCACTTAAAAACCTAGTTTACTTAGAGAGTCAACCATTGATCACTACTCTATAGACAAACTCCTGTAACCAGTTTCTACCCATGTTCATACAATTTCTTCTACTCCAATAGACCTTATGTTGTAAATTAAATGTTTATGAGGTGCCGTGTTGAATGCCTTAGCAAACTCCTGAAATACTACATCCACTGGCATTCCTCTTTTAAATTAGTACTCACGTCCTCATAGAACGTTGACAGGTTACACTAACAAGAACAGTCTTTCATGAATCCATGCTGGTTTTACTTATGATACCATTTTAGCTTACACATTGTTGGATATAGTCCCTTACTAGCCTCTCAAATACTTTACATACTATTGATGTGAACCTGCCTGGTCTGTAATTTCCTGCCATACATCTCAACCCTTTCTTTTTTTGTTTAAAGGAGAACTATGGGGTCAGGGCTTCTCCCCATAGTTATCCTAAGGGTCACTGGAGAACACAAACTAGTGTTCTCCCGTGACCCAAAGCTCAGAATACCGCAAGCTACAGCTCGCGGTATACTGAGACGCCGCAGCCGGAACAGATCCCAACAATACTGTCTGGATCCACCCAGCTGTGGGATTGACAGCTGGCTCTGCCTATCCAGAGGCAGAGCCAGCTGTGCCCGCCCCTCCCCCGTACGTTTCGCCAGTCAGCGATGGAGGATCGGACAGGGGGGGAATCAATGCAGGGAGCCGTGAGTGACAGTCACGGTTCTCTGCAGGGATAGATCAAGAAGTGAGCGAGCGACGGTATGTGTTCGTTCACTTCCCGATCTACTGAGCCGACCTGTGACCGTTTCATTGTCACAGGTCGGCTCAGATTCTGAAAATCACTCGCCTCATAATTCTCCTTTAATATCTTTTTATTATTTATACAAAATATACATACATTGACAAAGAAAGGTGACAAAGCATCAACATACACATATATCGTCTACATACAAGTTTAACTTCTCTTCATCACCACAAATTACAACATCCCACAGTATATATTTAATTCTTACATACGTATGTTAGCTTAACCCCCCAACTTTCTTCACTTGCAATTTCCTATTGCTTAATACAGCTCAACCCTTTCTTATTGGTACATTGGTACCACATTTGCTTTACGATAATCACTTGGGACCATTCCAGTCAGTAAAGTGTCCCTAAAATAACAGAGCTAAGCTCCCTGAGGACTCGTGGGTGTAAGCCAGCAGGGCTTGGCGATTTATTCACATTAAGATTGTCTAATCTGATTTGGACCTGGATTTCAGCCACAGAGGTACATTAAGTACATTATGAGCATTACTGTACTATATCAAACCCGTCTTTTTTGTTTCTATAAACGGTAGAGAAAAATGTATTTGATACACCTGCCTTCTCCTTATCACTTGTGACCAACTGCCCATGTACATTTTGTGGGGGGCCTACATATTCTTTCCTTTTTTACTATTAATAGATTTAAAGATCTTTTTGTATTTGTTTTATTTACTATAGCAATGTATTTTTCATATTCTATTTAGCGGCTTTGATTGCCGCTTTGCATCTCTTCCTTGTAGCTCTGAAATGCAGAGGGAATCCCTTTCGATTTGTATTTTTTAAAAGCCAGCCTTTTCTCATTAATTTTCCCTTTCACACTAGAATTGAGCCACATAGGTTTTATTCTAATCTTTGATATTTGTTGCCCACTGGAATACACAGGCAAATGCAGTGTACTTTTAATATAGGCTTAATTAAAAAATAAATGCGTAAAATAATATATCCCTATATACAATATAAAAAGACGAATGAATATTGTGTGATTGTTTTATTTTAAATATTTTACATGAATTTACATTTTTATTTTTCTATTAGTGGAAGATATCTCCTACCTGCTATGTTTGGCTTCCGTGGAATCTGACCATGCGCTGGAAGCTGTGATGTCCTCGTCAGGGATGGTTCTGTCCTGCATGCCCAATGCATAGCGGCATGTAGCTGAAAATCAGAAGCAAGCAATCAATTCCCTGTTAGCATTTGCAGCCCTTTGAACGGCCAATTAGGTCGTGGATTGTTCCAAGTGGCATCTTACAGCAGCAGCCCTTATAAAACTGAACTCTAGTGTGCTCTGTGAAACAGATACTGTATCCAAGTGTTTGTTTTATAAAAAAATTGTATAAAAACATTGAAACAGAACTCCAGACAAACAGCTAAATGCATAGGGGAAATACATACAGAGCTGTTATACCTGCCAGTAGTTAGATTTACACAGCTGTGGCATATAGCACTGGCAGGGTTGGAAACCTCCTATTTCTCTGCTACCATTCAGGGCCTGTGTGTCAGCCCACTGGCAATCAAACCCACCCACTTCACATTGGTTGTGGCGCTTTCCCTGTCTTTTGTTTCTACATTCCTATGGGGACCGTTCATGCAAGTGCACGGATCCGCGTGATCCGAAACGCCTGCCACCCAAGAGGCACCTTGAACAATTTTTGTTGTGCTGATCAGCGCGTTTTCCAAAAGATTTCAGCGCTGAAACACGATTAAAAGCGCCCTTTCGAAAATCGCGCGGAAACCACTGCCGCCCTGGTGTGAATGTGACCTCAATATCAATTACTGGTCTTGTTCCGCCCCCAGCTTGTGACTGGACACTGACAGGAGAAGCAAGAGACTAATGAGTTCATCTTTCTGTCACTCAGCTCTCCTTCTATCGACGTGTCTCTTGTTTGCACATAAACACTGCTGCACAAATTATTGGTTCCAAGTGCTGCCAAAGGATTTTTATTTCTGTCTGTCAAATCCTAAGATTTGCACGGCTCTGCCACACCCTGTTTTCAAAGAGACGTGTATTTTTGCAACTGCAGTTCAGTAACATTACGGGTCTCCGTCCTACCCCTAGCCTGTGGCTGGATAGTGAAAGGAGAAGCAAGAGACTAATGAGCTTATTCATCTATCACTCTGCTCTGTCCTCCTATTAGCATTCTGCTTGCACTGCAGCACAACTAATTGTCCCCTTGCGCCGCTTCTCCCTCTCCGAGTTTGAGCTCTGCTGTACAGGAACTGCAAGAGGATGATACCAGCTCAAATTCAGGTACATACACTGTTTGCATATAAGAATATGAATGACAGAACTGCATTAATTTGTATAATTGCTATGTGAAGTTCAGCTTTATTAGGAAGGGACTGCTGGCTTGTCTCAGACCTTTCCCAAGGTTATCAGGACTCTGTGAGCAATAACGAGCACTGAGCTGCCTTTGAGCACCCATATGATCTCAATAGACACGACTCTTCCTGGGAATTGTAATCAATGCCTGCAATTGACATATACCAGACAATAGCACATAGTGTATATCAGTCAATAGGGGCATCCAGCAATAACAGGGCAGTCAATACAGTGCAGTATAGTACAGTATACTCTGATCACCTTCAGGAAAAACAGGCTGTAAAAATGTCTCCATAAACATACAGTATGTTGGGCTCTGCTGAGCACATGTGGGCAGCTCTGATACCAGAATTTCTGCGCTGCAACAATACTGTTCAGTCAATGACAGTAAACCTATCCAACCAAATGTATCCCCACCGTCAGAGCCATCTGCAGATAATTGAGTCGGCTGCGCATTCAGAGTGGTCAGCCAGGTTGGGAGACGCTCAGATCTCTGGGATCCTTCAGGATATTCTTTAAAGTATATCTAAACCCAAGAACAAATATTGCAGCGACCAGTCCTTAGATGTGGCGGCTGCATTTGTTTTATTTTTGTTTTCTGGTTAAGTATGTTTTCTGAATGTACAAAAAATTATCCTGCCAGAAATATTCTATTCTTGTAACGCCCTTTACACTGAACTTGAAACCTCAAACAATGTAATCAGCATTCCTAGTTATCTTTGGGACACAACAAAGTATCTCCTCCCTAGGTAATGGAGATGAGAAGCTGAGGATGTTTGTAGTACAAATCAAGTGAGAAGCCTAAGGTGACAATGCTGCGCCTACATAGATACAGTACAGTTAGGGCCCTGTCACACCATCAGGAGTGCGTTCGGCCTCTGGCGCACTTTGTTTTGGTGTGTGTTTGCAGCATTTTTTGCAGATTACACTGGACCTGAAATAAGGCACTAATGTGCCACGCGTTCGGGTGCCGGCGATCGCACCGCGGGCAGGGGGACGTGGCTTCAGTGCCATTGAGAGAGTGTTGTCACCCTAGGACAGGAAGTGTGTTACTGACAGGATCTCCAAGTGACAATAAAGGAAAAAGAATTAAGAAGGAAACTAATACAGTCATGAAATGTCTTTTTTCCCCCTCTACTCTGACCTAGATGATTCCACCCTCCGCAGATCTATACAACCCAAGATCCAAGGACCGCTGCTTTACTGTATGTTGACATCCAGCACTGCAAGTCTCCCTCTCCTGGCCACATCCATCTCCTAGCTGGGAGACGACCCCATAGAATTTTATGGGGTTGTAATGTGCAGGTGCCACGAGCAGAGGCAGTATTGGATCTAACAATAGAGGAACCATGCCTGTCGGATCTTGGTAAGTACAGATCTGTGGAGGGGGAGGGTGGGATCATTTAGGTTAGGTTAGGGGGCACATTGTTTTTAAATCCTTTAAGGCTAAAATATATAAAATGTCCGCTTTTGGATTTAGCAAAACAATGTCCATTCTTCTGCTAAAGCTTATTTCTTCCCCATAACCTACTTCTGAATGTGTTGAAGCCAGTGAATAAAACTTACACGGATCAAAGTGAGCATCAGGTTCGCCCAGGCAGATGCCGAGCAGCATACACAGGGAGAGAAGCCGAGATCCCATCTTTACATCTCCTGTCAGCGTCCTTCCATGAAATATTCCTTCATATCTCTGGCTGTGGAAACACAACATTGAATATTATGTTGCACAAAACAGTATAAAAGTTCAGTTTCCTCTCTAAAATAAGGAAAAGAATTTGGTTGGTTGCTGCAGGAATGTGTCCCGGTCTTGCTCTAGTTTTGGCCCCACTGTGCATATGCGGATAGGACCTGAGGTTCTGGAAACAATTCCAACCAGGGACATGACCTGGATAGAGACTGCATGTTCTCTTTGTGTTGGGTTTCCTCTGGTGCTCCAGTTTCCCCTACAATCCAAAAAAATTAAACAGCTGGGCAGATTGGCTTATGACCAAATTGGCAGAGTGTGTGAATCTCCAAGGTCTTCTGGGACAGTCGTGAATGGTTCAGTGTTCTCTAAAGGGCTATGGAATATGTTGGTGCTATATAAATGAGCGTGGATTGAATGTTAATATAAAATTATAATAACTGGGAGGTTCAGTATCATCACCTTTTTTGGATAAATGAAGAAAACGTTTTAATTGGTATATATTGGTGGCATGATTGGTAGCACACTCAGTGCTCAGCAATTTCAGCAGGCGGCACAGTGAGACAATGAACAGTCTAATATTTTGGCAGGTGGTACAGTGAAATAATAACCAGTCTAGAATTTTGGCAGATGGCACAGTGAGATAATGAACAGTCTACATTTTTTGGGAGGTGGCACAGTGAGATAATGAAGAGTCTAAATTTTTGGGAGGTGGCACAGTGAGATAATGAAGAATCTAATATTTGGCAGCTGGCACAGTGAGATAAGGAACAGTCTAAAATATCAGCAGGTGACACAGTGAGACAATGAACAGTCTAATATTTCGGCAGGTGGTACAGTGAAATAATAACCAGTCTAGAATTTTGGCCGATGGGACAGTGAGATAATGAACAGTCTACATTTTTGGGAGGTGGCACAATGAGAGAATGAACAGTCTAAAATTTCAGGAGGTGGCACAGTGAGATAAGGAACAGTCTAAAATTTCAGGAGGTCGCATAGTGAGATAAGTAACTGTCTAACATTTCAGGAGGTGGCACAGTGAGATAAGGAACAGTCTAATATTTGGCAGCTGGCACAGTGAGACAAGGAACAGTCTAAAATTTCAGCAGGTGACACAGTGAGACAACAAACAGTCTAATATTTCGGCAGGAGGTACAGTTAAATAATAACCAGTCTAGAATTTTGGCAGATGTTATAATCTTCCAGGTGTCCAGCTGGGTTAACACTCGGTCTGATAGTCTTACAGGTGACACAGTGAGGAAATGCACATTCTGTAACTCTTATAGGTGACACCTTTGGATAATATACAGTATGATACTATTACAGGTGTCACACTGGAAAAGAGTTCAGTCTAATAATCTTCCAGGTGGCCCCATAAGGCTAACACAGTTGAAATAGTGAGATAATGCTTAACCTGCTATTCTTAAAATTGACGCAGTTGGATAGTATACGGTCTCATCATAATTTTCCTGGAGTAGGTCAATGCACATTCCAATAGTCTTACAGCTGTCATAGTGAGATATATGCCACAGCTGAACACATAAGTGGCACAGTGTGATAATCAGCCCAATACTCTTACATGTGGCACAATGAGATAACACACATTCTGATAATATTGCAGATGGCTCAGTAAGCTAATGTACAGTTGTACACTCGTACAGGTCGCACTACTAGATAATGCACATTGTAATACCCCTACTAATGACACAATTAGACAATTCACAGCAGAATACTTTTACAGGTGGCACAGTGGGATAATATTCAATCAGGTGCTCTTAAAGGTGTCATAACAGGACAATGCAAAGCTGAATACTCTTACAGGATGGCTCAGTGGGATCATATTTATTCTGGTACTCCTACAGGTGATGCCAAGTTGATTACTGTTGTTACAGGATTAAATGGAGGAATAATATTCCGTCTCTACTCTTATGGGGGAAACACCGAGGTAATGCACAGTCAAATGCTCTTACAGGTGGCACAGTGGAATCACATTCAGTCTGACACTCTTACTGGTGACACAGTGAAACAATGCACAGTTAAGGTTCTTACAGGTGGCACAACTGAATCACATTTAGAATGGCACTCTTACAGATGACACAGTGAAACAATGCAAAGCCAAAGACGCTTATGGATAGGACATCGGAATCACATTTAGCCTGATACTCTTACAGTTGACACAGTGAAACAAGGCACATTTAAAGGTTCTTACAGGGGCACAGTGGGATCCCACGTAGTCCGATACTCTTAAAGGTGACACAGTAAAACAATGTGCGGTTGAAGTTCTTACAGGTGGCACATTGGAATCACATTTAGCCTGAAACTCTTACAGGTGACACAATGCACAGCCAAATGTTCTTACAGGAAGCAAAGTGGGATTACATTCAGCCTGATACTCATACAGGTGACACAGTGAAACAATGCACAGTTGAATGTCCTTAAAGGTGGCACAACTGAATCACATTTAACCTGGCACTCTTACAGGTGACACAGTGAAACAATACACAGCCAAAGGTTCTTACAGGAAGCACAATGGGGTCACATTCAGCCTGATACTCTTACAGGTGGCACAGTGGGATCAGATTTAGTCTGATATTCTTACAGGAGACCGAGTGAAACAATGCACAGCCAAAGGCTCTTACAGAAGGCACAGTGCATCACATTCAATTTGATACTTTTACAGGTGACACAGTGAAACAATGCATAGTTGAATGCTCTTAAGATTAGTACAGTGGAATCACATGTAGTTTGATACTGTAACAGGTGACACAGTGAAACAATACACAATTGAATGCCCGTACAGGTCACACAGTGAGAACACATTTAGCCTAATTCCCCTACTGGTGGCACAGTGAGTATACATTTAGCCGTATACCCTTACAGGTGACACAGTGAAACAATGCCCAGCCGAAGGCTTTTACAGGAGGCATACAGTCTGATAACTATACAGGGGACACAGTGAAACAATGCACCATTGAATGCACTTACAGGTGGCATATTGGGATCACATTCAGTCCGATACTCTCACAAGTGACACAGTGAAACAATGTACAGTCAAATAATCTTATAGGTTGCACATTGGGATTACATTCAGCCTGGTTATCTTACAGGTAACAGTGAAACAATGCACATGCCAAATACTGACTAGGTGGCTAGGTAGGTTAACATTCAGTCTGGTACTCTTGCAGATGACACAGTGAAACAATGTACAGTCACATACTCTTACAAGCGGTGTAGTGGGATAACATTCAGTCTGGTTCTCTTACAGGTAACAGTGAAAAAATGAGCATGCCAAATAGTGTTACTGGTGGCTTGGTGGGTTACCATTCTATCTGGTACTCTTGCAGATGACACAGTGAAACAATGTACAGTCACATACTCTTACAGGTGGCATAGTGGGATACTATTCAGTCTGGCTTTATTTCAGGTGAATAGTGAAACAATACAAATACTGTTACAGGTGGCTTGGTGGGTAAACATTTAGTCTAGTACTCTTGCAGATGAGATGTGCCTGTTCTGAAGCATTTAGATGGTACATGGGGATAATTTACAGTTTTATACTCTTATAGGAGACACAGCGAGATGATATATCGCCTGATTCACATGCACGGGGCACAGCGGTACACAGCATGGCCTAAAGTGTGTAAATGGTTAATAGAATGTGAATTCTAGACATTGCAGAATGAGCAGAATGCCCACAATACGCAGATTGATAAGGGTGGGACAGTGGGCTCGCAGAGGCTGGAATGTGAAGAATGACCACAGGGAGAACACAATATCGGCAGAGAATACAGACTGGCACTTGTTGATGTGGCTCAGCGTGATAAAAGATTTCTAATGGGATACACTAGAGCTGACTAATAAAGGACTGGAGCAGCTTCCCGTAGACACCAATCACACTCCATTCTTCACTTAGATTTGGTTGGGTTTTGGTGAATCAGCCCCATTGTGTGCTCATTGTGAGGCAGTGTGATACAACCAGATGATTCGGTATGGAGAATGACACATCAAGGGGGTAAAATGGGGCTAAATGGGGGCATTTCTCTTCTGGGTATTACCAGCTCCTCCTCACACCATACAGGTGACTGAGCTTAACAATGACTGAAAGGAATCCTAAGCATTCACCTCATAGTTCTCCTTTAATATTAAGACTTTTCTTGTTCAGTCTCGCTGAAGGATTTGTGAGCATATATACTACAGCATATGATTCATATTCTTCATTCTAGTGCAACTAGAGTTGTCACCTGTCCAGGATTAACGCGGACATTCCGGGTTTTGAATACTGTGACCGGGTTTCATGGCAGCCGAAACCAGGACACAAGATGTCAGGCAGACAGGGGCAACCAAAATTAGGATAGGGGCTACTGGCTCCCCACTGAAAAAAATAGTCTCAACCATGATATGTACATATGAATGGGCGGCGATATGTAAATAATAATATGTTAAGACTCATTTTCCCCCAAAAATGTCCGCATGTCGTTAGAGTGTTCGGGTTTTGCTGAAGGAAAAGGTGGCAACCCTACGTGCAACAGTTATAGGGAGGTCTGCACCACCTATGGCCTTGTGTATACAGTGATCAGCCCCTACAGCTGGCCATACAGACCATTCCTGCAAAATCACCCAAAATTCAATCCTTTGATAGCCGTGCCTTCACCACCTGGTTCAACAAAAGTCGATTTTTCCACTTTTGTCAATGTAGCTTAGTAGAAAAATGTTGGATAAACGGTGACTGCAGCCAATCAGCTACAGCATGATGTTATGAGCCAATTTTGGAAATGGATTGAACTGGGCCCTGGTGGTGCAGAATTTGAGTGTAGAATTCACGATTTTTAAAAAAAGCACAGTGGCTTAGTGGTTAGAATTTCTGCCTTGCAGCACAGGAATCCTTGGTTCAGATCCCAGCCAGGTCACTGTCTGCATGGAGTTTTGAGTGTTTTCCATGTGCTTTCTTGGGTTTCCTCCAACACTCTTAAGACATGCTAGTAGGAAAATTGGCCCTAGTATGTGAGATAGGACCCTTAAACTGGGCATACAAAAAATGCTTTATTCCTCTAAACCAGGGGTAGCCAAACTCCAGCTCTCCAGCTGTGGTGGAACTACAAATCCCATGAGGCATTGCAAGACTCTGACAGCCACAGGCATGGCTCCCGGAGAGAGATGCATCATGGGATTTGTAGTTTCACCAAAGCTGGAGGGCTGGAGTTTGGCTACCCCTGCTCTAAACAGTGTGAATGGAGAGATTTCCCCTGCTGGCTATTGTATTCAGACAGCTGGTGCCTGCCAGTGTCGGAATACACCAGTGGCTGAAGTCACTGTTTAGCCAACAATTTTCAGCACGGCTCCATAAACAAAAGTTGAATGGAGTATAGCCGACAGGGTCACACACTGCTCGAATTTCTGCTAAGCCAGCAGGACTCGGCCACAATTCAAGCAGTGCATGGCCAGTTTTACATTGTAAGCTCCTTAAAGAGCGGGGACTCGTATGTCTGTGAATTCCTGTTACACAGCATCTCCCTGATATTTACCTACCGAACTGTATTCTCCTATAAACAATATTCATGCAATGTGAGTTTTAACATCACCTAACAACAGCTGCATACTGTCAGTGTAATTGTATACAGCTGTTACCATATCAGAATGATCAATAAATACATACTAAGCTTAAAGCTCAGAGATTAATGGGAATGTGCAAGTATGTAAAGCACAATACAAATTTTCACCACTACCTAGACGCCTATAATAACTACAAAATCCTCCTCCAATCACCCCGGACCCCCTAGATTGTAAGCCCGTTCTGGCGAGGCTCTCTACTGCTCCAATGCCCCACTTCTGTACCCTTGTTTATAGAGTTTCTCATTTCTACACCTCTGTTATTGGAGGTACAACACTGCAATATGTAAGAATAACCCATAATAACACATGCAAGAAAATTGTTATTAGATGTAAAACACTGTGCAAAATATACAAATCAAGGACGATAATAACATATCCAATAAAGTTGTTCTTGGATGTACAACACTGCAACATATCAACATAGCACGGCAATATGTACAAATAACCAAGGACAATAATAACACATCTAAGGGACTTGTTATTGGATGTATAATATTGTGTCATATGTACAAATAACAAAGGACAATAATAACACATCTAAGGGACTTGTTATTGGATGTATAATATTGTGTCATATGTACAAATAATAAAGGGCAATAATAACAAATCCAAGAAAGTTATAACTGTTACATGGTGGAATTCTACAAGTATGTAAAGCACAATGTAAATTGTCGGTGCTATATAGATGCCTATAATACATATAAAATCCTCCTACAATCACCCCGGACCCCCTAGATTGTAAGCCCGTTCTGGCAAGGCTCCCTACTCCTCCAATGCCCCACTTCTGTACCCCCATTTATAGAGTTTATCATTTCCACCCCTCTGTTATTGGAGGTACAACAGTGCATTATGCATAATAATCAAGGAAAATAATAACAAATCCAATGAAGTTACAATTGTGACACATGGCAGGAGTTTGTGGATACGAGTGTACCAGGGTCTAGATATGAGTGTACAGAGTTCTGGAAATTAGTGTACCAGGTTCTGGATACAAGTGTATTGGTTTTGTGGTGGAAAGTGACATTATATAGAAGTTTGTGGATATGAGTGTGCCGGGTTCTGGATACGAGTGTACTGGTTTTGTGGCGGGAAGTTACATTATATAGAAGTCTGTGGATACGAGTGTACTGGGTTCTGGCTACGAGAGTACCGGGTTCTGGATACGAGTGTACTTGGTTCAGGGTAGAAAGCTAGAAGATATGGATACGAGTGTGCTGGTTTTGGGTTGGAAAGTGACATTATATAAAAGATGTGGATACATGTGTACTGGTTTCAGGGTGGAAAATGACATTATATAGAAGATATGGATACAAGTGTACTGGTTTCAGGGTGGAAAGTGACATTATATAGAAGATATGGATACGAGTGTACTGGTTTCAGGGTGGAAAGTGACATTATATAGAAGATGTGGATACGAGTGTACTGGTTTCAGGGTGGAAAGTGACATTTATATAGAAGATGTGGATACGAGTGTACTGGTTTCAGGGTGGAAAGTGACATTATATAGAAGATGTGGATACGAGTGTACTGGTTTCAGTGTGGAAAGTGACATTATATAGCAGATATGGATACGAGTGTACTGGTTTCAGGGTGGAAAGTGACATTATATAGAAGATGTGGATACGAGTGTACTGGTTTCAGAAAGTGTATTGGTTTTGTGGTGGAAAGTGACATTATATAGAAGTTTGTGGATATGAGTGTGCCGGGTTCTGGATACGAGTGTACTGGTTTTGTGGCGGGAAGTTACATTATATAGAAGTCTGTGGATACGAGTGTACTGGGTTCTGGCTACGAGAGTACCGGGTTCTGGATACGAGTGTACTTGGTTCAGGGTAGAAAGCTAGAAGATATGGATACGAGTGTGCTGGTTTTGGGTTGGAAAGTGACATTATATAAAAGATGTGGATACATGTGTACTGGTTTCAGGGTGGAAAATGACATTATATAGAAGATATGGATACAGGTGTACTGGTTTCAGGGTGGAAATTGACATTATATAGAAGATATGGATACGAGTGTACTGGTTTCAGGGTGGAAAGTGACATTATATAGAAGATGTGGATACGAGTGTACTGGTTTCAGGGTGGAAAGTGACATTTATATAGAAGATGTGGATACGAGTGTACTGGTTTCAGGGTGGAAAGTGACATTATATAGAAGATGTGGATACGAGTGTACTGGTTTCAGTGTGGAAAGTGACATTATATAGCAGATATGGATACGAGTGTACTGGTTTCAGGGTGGAAAGTGACATTTATATAGAAGATGTGGATACGAGTGTACTGGTTTCAGGGTGGAAAGTGAAATTATATTGAAGTTTACGAATATAAGTATACTGGGTTATGGATACGAGTGTATCCACTGGTTTCGGGGTGGAAAGTGTATTATATGGAAGTTTCTGGCTGTGATTTACAAGCAGGGGCATGTCAGAGAAAGCAGAAAACCCACAAAGCGTCCTCTGCAAATACCATAGTGTGCAGTCTTTCTCCTCCCTAGTATGCAAACACCTGTCAGTCAGACATGAAGGCAGCTCCCCTCTCCACTTTCCCCATTCTCCATTCCTTTGCTTCTTCTCATTGTGAATTCCTGCAAAGTTTTCCTTGTCATTCAGTCCTTCCTCTGTCCGCTGCACCTTATCCCCCCTCCCCCCACCAGTCATCTTTCGTCCCCTTACCTGGTGTCCGCAGTCCTGGCCCAGGTACTCTTAGGAGGGTGACATGTCCAATCTTCTCTCCCTTGGGACAGACAGGAACTCAACTTTCTTCTTCTCCCTGAGTGTCTCTCCTCCTCCAGAATCCCTCCTCCCCCACCTTGCCTGGCATTCACTTGTCTGCCTCCCCTCCCCTCTATTCTCCTTTAACTCATTCTCACACTGTCCTCATTTTCATTCCTCTCACACTTCTTCGAGGCTGCTTGTTGCTGAACTTCCTGAAGTTTTCACTGGCCGTTTCCTGCAGCATGTCGCCCTACTGCAGACAATGGCCATGGTGGACCTGCCAGTCTTAGGATTGGAGGGGTAGGGAGGGGTCAGGTAACATCCTGCCCTGGGGAGGAAGAACAATGGAATTCATGAAATCGTGGCTGTGCTCATTTGTATTCTGTAACACAAAGAAGAATTCACTTTGTGGTGTGAACATTGAAACGTGACCGTCTGAGGTCTCTGAATATAGTGTGACGCCAATATTTGCGCAATTGTGCACAGAATGTGGGATATAGATCAAACCTGACTTATCGTTTGCAGATTCTAATCAGTCGCTTGTATTATTTATAACATGAATTAAGCTGGCCATAAATTTCATAAACAAATGTTTATGTGCAAAATCTCATCTGATATCTCGTCCGAAGATTCGATAATTCCACAGACTTTGCAAATGTCGCACAAAATTTTATTTTGATATTGAATTTTGGAATAAATGGAGTGTCCTGAATGAAAACCACATTTGTTCTTAGAATTTCAACAGCTCCTTCGGTTTTATCGACACTACGGTCAAAAGCGATGATCATTTTGACCCCATTACCTGTAAGAAGATTGAACGAACGTTCCAAAAACTGATTTTTTTCAATGAAATTCTAATTGCGTATATCCAAATTAGGGGAAATGATTTTTATGTATACATTTTGCATTATAAAATGAGCATACTGTATCTGTGCGTGTTTAAAAAGTCTTCCTTAGCGCTTCTAAGTTGTGCGCCAGTTCTGAGATTAAAGCAGACCTTCACCCTAAAAATAAAGTTTGCAGCATTGTAAAACCCGCCCCTTCCCCTTTCAATAAAACCTACGCTTTTTAACATTTTTTTACCTTTTTATTTGCCCCCTTTTCCTCCTACTGGAATCACATATCGCAGGAGGATGCAATAGAAGAATCCTTTCCATTTACGTAAATAGACCCGTCACAGATCTTGCACATGTTCAGGTAGAGATCTGGCGCCGGTTTTATTTACATACTCTCCTATGAATGGAGGGCAGCAATGCCTCCTTGGATATGTGACATCACATCGCTACCCTCTATTCATTGAACATTATGTAAATAGGCCCCGTGCCAGATCTCTGTGTGTGCATGCATGGGTTTATTTACATGCAGCTTCATGGGGAGCCGGGACCGGGAAAAGAAAGCCAGCTCCCTATGATGTCAGCAAGCAAGATGGCAGCGCTGGACAGGACAAGTACTTGTGGGAGGATAGCAGGGGGTAGAGGGAAAGACAATGCTGGATCCATTGGGCTTGTAAGTATGTGATAACGGCATACAAAGAGCGCCAAAGGTAAGTGGGGGGAGAAAAAAATTAATTTGGGATGGAGAAGTTTGCATCCCTCACAGTTTTGGCACAACAGAGAAATAGATCTGACCCATAATGAATGCACATTCATTAATACTCAACTGCTTTACCCCCATTCAGACCTCTGTGGTGCGGGGTGCATTTGTGATGCTCTGCAGTAGAACAGCTCCTTCAGCTACAGTTATTATTATTATACAGGATTTATATAGTGCCAACAGTTTGCTACTAAGGGTTAACTACTCGTTTATGCTTAGGGGACACAAAAAAGCTGTTTTGCTTACCTGATCCCCGCCGGCTCACTCAGAAGATGGTGCTCTACCTTTTCTGCCTCCTCCACTCTGGCTGTGGACTGGCCCTTGGCATCCTTATGTGTAATGTAGATCTATGGAGCCTGTATTGTATTTGATGGAAAGACCGCCGGAGTGGAGAAGAGGCTGCGGGGACCGGTCTAGCAGCCCAGAGGGATCAGGGAATAAAATAGCTTTTTCCTGTCCCCCCAGGCGTAAAGGAGCAGTTAACCCTTGCAGTGCAGGGGTAGTCCCACTGCAAGGGAAAACTTTTCATTTCTCTGGATGTGGGCTTTAAATAAGAATTGTGTGAAAGCAATTATAGTTTTAGGTACTACATACAAGTTCGAGGTTTACCATAAAAAAAAAAAATTTTTTTTAGTTTAAATGTCATGTTTCATGTTCTTGTTGTACCATATTTCCCTGATTTTATTGCATGTATAGATGTAAAGAGTCTCCCTCTAGTGGCTCTCTGTATGTCATTGCGGTCTGCCTCTAGAGGAAAAATCATTGAGACAAAGACAACTATGAATTGTCATTCAAACGGACAAATCTTAAACATTACATTGTCCAAAACAAAACTATTGCCGTTAGATCTAGGAAGATCATCCCCGAACATTGGTGGTCATTGGGAGGAAGAGCACCCCCTTAGATTGGTGGTCAGTGGGAGGAAGAACACCCCCTTACATTGGTGGTCAGTGGGAGGAAGAACACCCCCTTACATTGGTGGTCAGTGGGAGGAAGAACACCCCCTTACATTGGTGGTCAGTGGGAGGAAGAACACCCCCTTACATTGGTGATCAGTGGGAAGACGAACACCCCCTTACATTGGTGGTCAGTGGGAAGAAGGACACCCCCTTACATTGGTGATTAATGGGAGGAAGAACACCCCCTTCGTGGTCTTTGGGAAGAATGGCCAAGGATTACCCCCAGCACAGCAGTGATCAATGTGAACGGGTATTAATCGTGACCTTAGAAAACCTCAGTCAGGCACTGTGAGCTGCCATGTATTATGTGCCAGGCTGATTCTCAGTCCCCGTCTGGCACCTCCAGCGTGTACAAGCCCTAAATTACCGATGTGTTCTTCCTCATTGACTCAGTAGAGGTCATCTGCAAATTCCTCCGCACAAAGTGTGTTCTAACAATGCAAAAATGTTCCCTATTTTAATCAATGTGCATGGGTGTTACGTGTCAGGGGCTGAGCACAGCTCTGCCAGTTGCTGCGCTGGCACACTAGTAAACCTTATGTTGCCCACATAGAAATGTAAAGGTTGGATTTTGACTTTCAGGACATGATTTTGTGTAGATTCGGTGGCTGGATCTGCAGTCTCCCATGTCTACAGCTCTGATACAGACTATGTAGTACAAGGGCCTACCTGATTGGATATAAATTGATTGGATGGATCAGTTAGGTCCTCACATTACACAGTTGATTGCACAGAAATTGTATGGTCAGATTGTAATGTGCGTGAGCCTTATGTCTGTTTACAAGGGTAGCTTGCAGCAGACCTTCAATGCCCAGGTCCACTTTAGCTCCCTTTTGATTTTGAATCATGTGACCTTCATTTTCAAATCGCATTGGACATTGCAGGAAAATAACTATCACTTTTTTGAAACTAAGGATCCTTCACCTGATATGTTTGCATTGTAAGTTCTGCCGATAGAATTCTATTTTGCCTAAATGAACCTAAACGCAGGTGAACGCTCAGTTTGAACGGTACCAGTGAAACATCATGACATCATTTATGTGAATTTAGAAATTACCTTTAAGCAGATATAGACGCAGGACTGATACCGCCAATGTCAATGAAACTATTAAATCATTTGTTTGTTTTGATGACTTGCACTGGAGCATATCATATACTCAGCAGACCGGCATCAGGGACCCGATGATGCAATTCAGACTAAATGGACCAGAATGTGAAGATTAGATGGAGAGATAACAAACTACAGGGGTGACCTCAGCCCAGGAGTGACGACGCAGGAGGGAATGTCAGTGTGATAATGATCAGTGTTCATGGTACAGAATGTAAACTCCGGAATGGAGATAAGAATACAGCTGTGTATAGAGGGGAACATAAACGTAACTTTAAGGGTTATTAAACCCTTGTGTGTTTTTGCATACTGCTAGCAAGCAATAGATATATGCAAAAACATAAAGAAAAAAACAACCGTTTAAAAAGGGTTAATACTTACCTGTGTCTTAGCCGCACACTCCCATGCGAACATCGGAAGAGTCTCGGGCGGCTGCAAAGGATCTTGGTGTGGGCGCATGCGCACTTCAGATGTTCGGCCGGGAGACGAGGAGAGACACAAGGTAAGTATATGGAGCAGCGTGCACCCGCACAGACTCTGTGGGACATGAGAGAAGAGGAGGACAGAGGAGTCAGCGCTGGGTCGGAGACCTGCACCAGCACTGGAGGGACAGCTGAAAAGGACAGGAAAGAAGAAGATGATCAAATTAAGAAACATCATTTAGGCCTCATTCACTCTGTAATCTGCCTGTACGTACAGCTCCGAGCTGCTCGATACGGCCGTGCACACACCACGAACCTGTACGTGCGGGCCGATTACAGTGTGAATGAGGCCATAAGGTATGTCCTTACAGCAGCATTGGGAAGGGGTAAAAAATCTGACTTTAATGTCACTTTAAAGCTGGCCACTGTAAGAAACTCTGAAATATCATTCATTGGCCAGGGCATTCCATGATGTCATCGATGAGCCAATTTTTTGGTGAAAACGCTTCAAATGTTGTCCAGTCCGGCACTTTTTATGAATAAATAATAAACCTTCATTAAAAAAAATGTGCATTTATTTTTTTAATTTATTTTTTACATTCGGGCCAGTAAAGCATTGCAAGTGCCATTGGTGTATAGGGGGTGCAATGCTCTGGCTCCTGCAGACTCTTCCTCCATGACGTACCTCAAGTAACATGAACAAGAGGATGAGTGAATGGACTACGAGTGTGGCGATGTCGCTGCACTTGTACAAGTGCCTCTGCTCTGGTGCCTTATGGGACTTGAAGTTTCTCTATTCACAGATCCTGTCAAAGGATCTGTGATTGGATGATACGACTGTGTGGGCGGAGCCACACACAGCTATGCAAAATGACAAAATGCAGCCATTGAGATTAGGGGGGGGGGGGACCATGTTTCACGTTAGTTACACCCTGAACATAAAACATGGCCGTTGGAGAGAATTCATAAACACTCTTTAGAATTCTGTGGTGCATCTGCACAACGACTGTCGGTGCTTGCACCAGATGTACTTGTTGGAGACAGGTACATGGATTTGGCACAAGCACCTCAATTATCTAGGGCGGTCTGCATGCAGGTACAGCCTGCATAGGAACACCCGCTATCCTCCAGGTAGACATTCACCCACCAAGTAATTTGGTAT